AATGCGAGTCCTCTAACTTTATTTTTCTATTTCACATTTGTTTTGTTTTCCCTATTTGGGGCTCCCTTCAGTTCCATAGGCATCCGAGGATTGGCTTTTCCATTTCTGCAAAATAACTCATTGGCATTTTGATAGATACTGCATTGAATCTGTAAATTGTATTGGGTAGTATTGTCACGATAACAATACTAAGTCTTCTGATCCTTGAACATGAGGTGTCTTTCCACTTATTTTATTTCCATTTATTGAATTTCTTTTTTTAATGGTTTGAACTTTTCAGTGCAACAGTCTCTCACTTCCTTGACACGGAGGCTAAAGCAGCTTCTTCCTGGACGCTGATCCGCCATTAAGCCCTGTTCTGGGAATGCCTCTAAGATTTTTACTTTATGTAGCATTACTGCCAATCCTGCCCCTGGGTCAGAACAACCTGGACCATAAATCCTGCCCTTAAGCAGATTCCTGGAGCATTCCGGCCTTTCCTGAGGGGCGACTTCAATTGTCCTGCCCATCCCTTCCCCGGGGTGCATGACCCTGGCCTGGGGGTTAGGCCGGGGGTCCACCGGCCAGTCTCCAGTCTCTCAGCCGGGTGACACATGGCTTTTGTTCATGAGCCCTACTAAATGTTTCTTTCTGAGAAACTGGTTTTGTCAGCCTTTCTTCAGCCTCTCAGCTTCCTCAGCCTGTGGGCATAGGTTTGCACAGACCTGCTCACTGGGGAACACTTGGTTAAATTTATTCGTAGGTATTTGATTCTTTTGGATGCTATTTTAAATGGAATGGTTTTATTAATTTTCTTTTTTGTGTTGCCCATTGCTGATGTATAGAAACATGACTGATTTTTGTGTGTTGATCTTGTACCCTGCAAGTTTGTTCAATTGGTTTATTAGCCCTCGTGGTTTTTTAATGGATTATATGGGATTTTCTCCGTGCAGAGTGACATCATCTGCAAATACAGATGGTTTTACATCTTCCTTTCCAGGGTGGATGCCTTTCATTTCTTTTGCTTACCTACTTGCTCTGGCTAGGATCTCCAGTACCTTGTTGAACAGCCGTGGTGACAATGGCATCTTTGTCTTGTCCCGGATCTCAGGGGGAAGCTCTCAGTCTTTAACCACTGAGTATGATGCCAGCTTCGGGTTTTCCATAAACGTTCTATTAAGTTCTGTTCTATTCCTAGTTTACTTAGTGTTTCCATCGTGAAAGGGTACTGGGCTTTGTCGGGTGATTTTTCTGTGCCTATTGAGGTAAGCGGGTGTACTTTTCTTATTCTGTTTTTGTGGTGCTTGTGTATTGATTTTCTTATGTTTATTATTTTTTTTTTGAGATAGAGTCTCACTCTGTTGCCTGGGCCCCTAGAGTGCTATGGCGTCAGCCTACCGCCACGCCAACCTCAAACTGCTGGCCCAGCGATCCTTCCTGCCTCGCCTCCTGAGTAGCTGGGACCTCAGAAAGGGGCAGTGCACCATCGCCCGGTTTAATTTTTTCTATATATTTTTAGTTTGTCCGACCTAAATTCTTACATATTTTTTAGTAGAGATGGGATCTTTGCTCTGCTCCCAGGCTGGTTTTGAACTCCCTGACCTTGAGAGCGATCTACCCACCCTTGGCCTCCCCCAGAGTGTAGGTTACAGGCGTGAACCACCGCGCCGGCCCCTGATTTTTCTTATTTTGAAAACATCCCCACCTTGCTATGGGCATGTGATTCCTTGTGATGTGGCTGCTCCGATTGTTTTTCTGGTTATCTTCCTCCTTTTTTTTGTGTTAAACCCCAAATCCAGGTTATTTATATATATTGAGATACTCCTTTACAGGGATAATATAGGAACATTTGTAAAATACACACAACATATTATTTACCATCTAAGCCATCTTTTAAAGTATATACGTTCAGTGGGCACAAGAGCATTCCTCAATCTTGGCAAACATCACCATCCTTCACTTGCCCATAACTACTTTTTGTCTTGTGGAACAGAAACGCTAACTGCCACTAGGCAGTAACTCCCGCCTCCCCCCCCACCCACAGGCAGCGCTCCATTTTACTCTTTCGGCTCCGTGTGATTTGGACTGCTCTTCCTATCAGAAAAATGGAGTCATACAGTATTTAATCTTCTTGTGACTGGCTATTTCATTGCAGTGATGTCCTCCGAGGTTCATCCCATGTTGTAGATGTATCCAAACGTCCCTTGTTTCTTAAATGCAAGTGTCCCACCCATTGTGTGGGTAAGGCGGCATCTCCTACCCACACGTGTCCGTCGTGGACGCCTGGGCGCGTCCAAGTGGTTGGCTGCGTGGATAATGCTGCCATGCACCGTGGGTATGCAAATGTCCTCTCAAAACTCTGCTTTCATTATTTTGGTAAATACTAGATGTAGAATTGCCAGTAATACATAATCCTATTTTGTTAATTTATTTATTTTTTTGAGAAGGGTCTCGCTTGTTGCCCAGGCTAGAGTGAGTGCGTGGCAGATCAGCCTAGCTCACAGAAACCTCAAACTCGCTGGGCTTAAGTGATCCTCCTGCCTCAGCCTTCCGTGAGTACTGGGACTACAGGCATGCGCCACCCATGCCCGCTAATTTTTTCTATATATATTAGTTGGCCAATTAATTTCTTTCTATTTATAGTAGAGACGGCATCTTGCTCTTGTTCAGGCTGGTTTTGAACTCCTGACCTGGAGCAGTCCGCCCGCCTCAGCCTCCCAGAGTGCTAGGATTACACTATTTTTATTTATTTATTTATTTTTCTTTTCTTTTCTTTCTTTCTTTATTTTTTTAAAGCATTTTTTAGAAGACACATGATTACACTATTTTTAATTCTTTTAGGAGCCACTGCACTGTTTTTCACAGCAGAACTACCATTGCTGTTGGTTTTTTTGTTGTTGTTGTTGTTTTGTGTTTTTTGTGAGTTTTTTCGGCTAGTATTTTTTTGAGGATGTTTGTGTCTATAATCATCAGGATATTGGGCTGTAGTTTTCTTGTAATGTCCTTGTGTGGCTTTGATTTCGGGGTGCAGCAGGCACATCACAGCCTATCGAGTGAGTTTATTCACTGGGTTAGATTCGTATTTGGCACAGGGTGGAGTGCCCGCGTTCTGGCCCTGCAGCTGACTGCATTGACAAATTATTTTTCCTCCTGTCCTTGGCCACAGACTTCTGGATTCCAACTCCAGGTTGCTGGGGCCAGAGAGTGAGCGCCACGCTGGTTCTCGGGAGCTGCTCATCTTTGAGCATTGCGACCTTACCTTTAGAGGTTCACTTGGGAATTCTCTCACATCTAGACGTGCCCCAAAAGGCTTTGGGGCCTCATGGAATCAGTGGACCACGTGGGAGCCCACACGGCCTCCCTGCCTGGCTCCCGGTCTGGGTGGCATTCATGGCGGGCTCTCCTCTGCAGGGGCCCACCTAGCGCTGACACCAGGGGGCCCAAGACCTGAAACCCACACTGAGGGCCTTCAACTCACTGGACGCCAGGAGGTTTCTTGTCCTCGAGACAGCCCCACGGCCTCCCCAGAGCTGAGGTGCTGCCCCCTGTTGGTGGTGAGGTGGAGGCAGAGCTGGCGGCTGACTGACACCTGGGTGGCCCCCTCCAGCCACCCACAGGGCTCCCAGAGGGTGACCTTCAGCAGGGCCCACCCAGGACGCAGCTGTCACCCCACTCAAAGTGGATGCTGAGAGAGTGAGCACAGGTCATTCTCCTTCAATGCTTCCCCCCAACCTCCCCCACTCTCAGCACCTCCCTCCCTCCCCCAGCTCCGTGTCAGCGTCAGCGCGCACCTGTGCGGCCAGGTGAGGGCCAGCGGTGCCGCCTTTGCCTTGCTGTGGGGCTCAGGGCCAGATGCTGCAGCTGGCACACCCGACCTCCAGCCCCACCGCTGACCCCGCGCCCTGGGAAAGCTCACTTCAGCCTCCCGCCTCGGTTTTCTCACTTCGCAAATGGGGCCACGGAAGACCAGTCCTTGCAGCGTTGTGAGCAGGGACGTCAGGCGGAGCCCCTGGAATGGGACCCGGTACTTCCCTGACGAGTTGGTGAGTTGGGCTGCTGTAGCCATGAGCATGTTTCCTGTGTCACAGTAGCATGGACGTCTCCCTGCACAGCCTGGTCTATAGGCGTTGAAACCTCTTCCCTGGGGGACTCGGGGCTCAGACCTTGGAGAATGCTCATGGGAGACTGACGGCTAGCAGTGCAGGATGCCGAGAAAGGTCAAGGTCTGGGGTCTGTGTTAGTTTCTTTTGGCTTCTGTAACAAATCACCACAAACTTAGTAGCTTAAAAGCACACAAATTTATTATCTTTCGGTTCTGCAGGTCAGAAGTCTGACATGTGTTGTCAGGGCTGCGTTCCTTGTCAAGTCTCCACGGGACAGTCCTTGTCTTTGGCTCATCGAGGCTGCCTGTATTCCATGGCTTGTGGCCACGTCGTGCCAATCTGTGCCTCTGTGGTCACATGGCCTCCTTCTCTTCTGTGTCTAATTTCCCTCCACCTCCCTCTTTAAGGACACCTCTTATAACATTGAGCCTAACCAGATAATCTGAGATAATCTCTCCACTCAAGAATCACCTGAAAGTCCCTTTTCCCATATTCGGTAACTTTGTGTGTAGCAGTAGCTCTTCCCTTTTTATTATGAAGGGCGGTCTGTTGCATAGATGCACCAAATCTGTTAATATTTATCCACCCACCTGTTGAAGAACATTGAGTTGCTTCCACTTTTTTTCTCTTATGAATAACATTACTATGAACATTCACACACATTTTTTTTTTTTTGGGACAGGGTATCGCTGTCACCCAGACTGGAGTGCCATGGCATCATCATAGCTCACAGCAGCCTCAAACTGCTGGGCTCAAGCGACCCTCCTGCCTCAGCTTCCCAAGTAGCTGGCACTACAGGCGTACACCACCACACCTGGATACTTTTTTCTATTTTTGGTAAAGATGGGGTCTAACTCTTGCTCAAGCTAGTCTCAAACTCCTAACCTCGAGCTATCCTCCTGCCTCGGCCTCCCAGAGTGCTACGATCACAGGTGTGAGCCACCACACCCAGCCCGTGCACGTGTTTTTACGTGAACATATGTTTTCACTTGAGTAAATGGAGTGGAATGGCTGGGCTGTATAAAAAGTGTCTAAAACTCCAGGTAAATCACATCTTAGTATTATGATGAAAATAGTTTTGATGTCACAGACTCCTGAACAGGCTTGGGAACCTCTGGAGTCCCCGGACCACATTTTATTTGGTGAGTTCAATTTATTTTTATTGTGAAATTGTTTCAAAATCTTACAAAAGTTACAAGAATAAAGCAAACTCTTTTTCTTTTTCCAGAACCATGTGTGAGTAAGTTACAGACATGATGTCCCCGCTCCCCAAATACTTTGATGTGTGCTCACCGCAAATAAGGGTACGCTCCCACGCAACCACAGGGCCGCCACACAAGCTCCGGGAACAGGCACTGATGGTTTCCTACTGCTCAATCCACACGCACCAACTTCCAGCAATTATCTCTGCAATTCCTTTTACAACAGAGGGATCCTGTTCAGTTTCCCTATTCTGTACAGAAATAGAAAGAAACAGCTGGATGTGTGTGCACATATGTACACATACATGTATACGTGTGTGCATGCATTTCCCTTTCTCTGAGACGATCAGTAACGATACACCGGCAAGAACAAACATGCCTAGTGCCCGGGGCTGTTTCTAATCACAAGTGAGCCACGAACACGTGGCTGTGCACCTCGAGGGTCCACTCACGCGTGGATTCTTTTCAGTAACAGTGGCAGCCCTCGTGCTGGCCCCTCGAGGCTCCCCTTCCACTTCGCCCGTTCCTTCGGCTTCTGCTGCCCACGGGGCTGCAAGAGCACCCCCTCCTCTTCCTCCTCCTCCTCCTCAGCCTGCTCAGCCTGAAGATGACGAGGACGAAGGCCTTTATGGTGATCCACTTCCACTAAACGAATAGTAAATATTTTTCTCTTCCTTATGATTTTACTAATAGCATTTTCTCTTTTATATTATAGCTTACTTTATCATTAAGAATACAATATCAATGCATATAACATACAAAATATGTGTCAATAGTAGGCTATTAGTAGTTAAGTTTTGGTGGAGTAAACAGTATCTGAGGGCGAGCGTGAGTGTGCATGTTTGTGCGCGTGCGTGTGAGTGTGTGTGTGTACATACATCTGCGTGTTCCCGTACGGTGCATTGCAGCCGTGTGCGATTTCCTGTGTTCACCTCGTGTTTCTCTGGAGGAACTCGTGCATGAAGAAAGAAAAAATTGTTATGTTAAATGGCTCTCTAGCATGCCAACTGCCTCAAAACAATTCACCCTTTCAAAGCGAACATCCTAGCAGAACTGCCATCTCAACACGTGAAGTGGGAGGGGAGCCCTCAGCTTAGCGATGTGGCTCGGGGGTCCTGATGGGGGCGGACAGGGTTTCTGCCCTCCCCCACCCCCACAGCCACTAAAGACGCTGCTGCGGCAGCTGCCCCGGTGCTCACAGCCTCACCGGGCTCGGCTGCAACTCTGGAACATCCCGTGCCCGCAGGCCCCCTGCAACGGGTGTTGGGGAGTCGAGACAAATGCCCTCCCCTTGAGTCCTTGTCCTCAGTGGTCCAGTGCTGAGGCCCCAGTAGGTCTGTGCCTCTGCGGACTTCTCTGGAAACCTAGTTTGAGAAAATTTTTCAGAATTTCTTCTTTCCCTGCCTCAGTTTCCCTACCTCCTCACCTTTGCTTTGTAGATCATCCATCTTCCAAAGAAACTACCAGCACCAAAGTCTTGGTCCCAGTCGACTTTTGGAGGAACATGGTAAGGCCAGGAGTGTGTGGTACATGTGAGAGGGGGAACCCTGCAATGGTGGGGGCATTGGGAGCATTTCCTCCATGGCACCCCCACCCCAGGCTTCCCAGACCCTGCCACCCTGGAGCTACTACTGTTTCCATCAATTATCATCCTGACGGAACTAACAGGAGAGAAGTCTGCTGTTTGCAAACAAAACCTTGAAAAAGATTTAAGAGTTAGGATCGGGCCTTGGCCACTTGGGTCCACAGAAAGCTCTGCAAGCATCAGCTTGAACATACACAGTCTTTATTAGCAATCAGGACAGAGCAGGGCCTGGGGCCTGTCAGCAGGCATCCCTGACACTGCAGTGCCCAAGGCCCAAGAGGAATGTGCCAAGGCTGTGGTGCCCACTGCACCTTCAGGGGCTCTGTCGGACTCAGACCAGCTGCAGGAGTCGGGGGGACCACAGCAGAGCGAGGAGCAGCAGTAACCCAGAGGAGTCCGGCCGGGGTGGAGTGCAGGAAATCATCGTCTCTATCCAGGTGAAGTACACACTGACGTTGGTGTAGAGACTGGGCCGGTTGGGCCGACCACAGCCCACTCCCCAGCTCACGACTCCAACCTGATACCACAGTCCGTCCTTGTCACAGACCAAGGGTCCGCCTGAGTCACCCTGGGGAGCAGCGTGGGTGAGACCAGCCTGGGGCAGGCCCAGGGAGCAGAGGAGGGGCTGGGTGCAAATCCTACTCCTCCTCTGGCAGCAACTGAGCTTCAGTTTCTGCATCTGCAAAGTGGGGCAATAGCCTCCCAGGGTTGGTGGGATGATCAGAGGAGGTACAATTTATTCAAAATGAAAAGCATGTTTTATAGCCTTGGTAAATAAGGACTGCAAATGTTTCCTCATGAATAAATGCCAAGGGTGGGTTTGTGTGGGCACATGGGGTTGCTCTCAGGCCCGGGGTTGGGAAGGGTGGGATTCCCTGGTGGGGCACGGGCACTCACTTTGCAAGCGTCTACGCTGCCATCCTCAGCACCAGCACAAAACATGGAATCTTGGGTTATACTATGGTCTGGGGGTTGTTCCAACAGTTCATTACATCTGGTGTTGTTTAAGATGGTGACCTGCACTTCCCGGAGCTTGTAGGGAGGTGGAAGAGATGCTGGGAAAAGGACAGAGAAAGACACAACCTTAGCCTCTCCTCTGCCGTCTAGGGCAGGGGCAGGAGGGAGGGCTCATGTCACATGGTGGCGGTGTCTCTGCCACACCCACAGTGCCCAGAGCATTGCTTATCCAGCACGTCACGCACAATCAACACGATCACAGAAGTTCCTTAAAGTTATGGATGCCGGGAGAAAATATCATAGAAGGACCTGACCCAATGGATGGACAGGCTGTTGAAGCTCCCTCTGGGACTCAGCCTCCCTACATGTAGAAAGGACATGATGGCACCAGCCTGAGCCAGCGGAGAGAGTCCTATCAGCCAAAGCATGGCAGGGAAGGGGCCAAGGTGGATGAGAAGGTTTATGATTACTACACTACAGTTGCACGAGCTAGGTCAAAACTTGCCAAATTTGATGAAAGATGTGAATCTATGGATTCAAGAAGCTGAGAACATTCTACGTAGGATAAACACAAAGAAATCCACACTGAAATACAGTATAATCAAACTATGAAGGACAAAGAGAGTTTCGTAAACAGCAAGACAGAAATGACTCATCAAGGACCAGGGCTCTTCAACAAGATTAACAGGGATTTCTTTTCATAATCCATGGAAACCAGAAGGCAGTGGGAGGATGTATTTAAAGTTCTGAAGGTAAAAAACAGTCAACGCCAAATTTTATATTAGGGAAAACTATCCTTCAAAAAATGAAGGAAAAATCAAGACAGTCTCAGTTAAACAAAAACTGAGAGTGTTCATCAGTAGCAGACCTGTCCTAAAAGAAATGGAAAGAGGAGTCCTTCGGGCCAAAATGAAAGGACTCCAGACAGTATCTCAGTCATAGAAAGAAAAAAAGAGCCCCAATAAAGGCCATTTCATAGATAAATATAAAAGCCTATATTATCGCATTTTTGGTTTTTAACTTCTCTGTTGTCTACATAATTTAAAAGACAAATGCATAAAACAATAATTATAAATATCCATTTTTGAATATACTATGTTTACACAATGAATAAAGAAGTAAATTGTAGGCCGGGCATGGTGGCTCATGCCTGTAATCCTAGCACTCTGGGAGGCCGAGGTGGGCGGATTGCTCAAGGTCAGGAGTTCAAAACCAGCCTGAGCAAGAGTGAGACCCCGTCTCTACTATAAATAGAAAGAAATTAATTGGCCAACTAATATGTATAGAAAAAATTAGCCAGGCATGGTGGCACATGCCTGTAGTCCCAGCTACTTGGGAGGCTGAGGCAGGAGGATTGCTTGAGCCTGGGAGATTGAGGTTGCTCTGAGCTAGGCTGACGCCATGGCACTCACTCTAGCCTGGGCAACAAAGCGAGACTATGTCTCAAAGAAAAAAAAAAGAATAGTATATATTGATAAAAGAGACATATCATAAAGAAAATACAATAATTATAAACATCTATGCACTTAACAACAGAGACCCAAAATATATGAAGCAAAATTGACAAAATGGGTGGGAAAAATAGACAGTTCTACAGTAACAGTTGGAGACTTCACAGCTCCACTTTTACTAATGGGTAGAAGAAGCAGAGAGAAGATCAACAAGAAAACAGAGGACTAGAACACCACCATGAATCAATTCCTCCCCACAGACGCATACAGAACAGTCCACCCAAATAACAGCGCGATATACATTCCTCTCAAGTGCACGTGGGACGTTCTCCCAGGTAGACTATATGGCAGGTCACAAAATAAGTCACAGCAAATTGGAAAAGATTGAATTCATACAAAACATCTTCACTGACCAATATGGAACAAGACTAGAAATCAATAACAAAATAATCACTAGAAAATCCACATATATGTGGAGATTAAACAATACACTCCGTCTCAAAAAATAAAAAAAATAAAAAAGAGAGTCTCACTTTGTTGCCCAGGCTAGAGTGAGTGCCGTGGTGTCAGCCTAGCTCACAGCAAACTCAAACTCCTGGGCTCAAGCAACCCTCCTGCCTCGGCCTCCTGAGTAGCTCGGACTACAGGCATGTGCCACCATGCCTGGCTAATTTTTCTATATATATTAGTTGGCCAATTAATTTCTATTTATAGTAGAGACGGGGTCTCACTCTTATTCAAGCTGGTTTTGAACTCCTGACCTGGAGCAATTCGCCCACCTCGGCCTCCCAGAGTGCTAGGATTACAGGCATGAGCCACTGTGCCCGGCCAGGCGATTCCATTTTGAGACCACAAAATCCGCAGTTAGATGGGTGGCTGTCCAACTGTGTGAACACAGTCCTGTGAACCATAGCTACAGTCCCATCAACGACAGTCCACATACGTGACAGTGGTCCCACAGGGTTATAATGGAGCTGAAACATTCCTATCACCTAGTGACATCTTCATCCTGATCCTGAGTAGGCCTACACCAAAGTGTGGGTTTGTGTGTCAGTTTTTAAGAAAAAGGTTTTAAAAGGGAAAAAACATTTTTAAAAAACATTTTTAAACAGAAAGTAGCTTACAGAAAAAGGATATAAAGAAAGAAAATATTTTAGCACAGCCGTACAATGTGTTTGTGTTTTCCGCTCAGTGTTATACAAGAGTCAAAAACTTGTAAAAAGTTAAAACATTTATAAGGTAAAAAAGTTACAGAAAGCTAAGGTTGGCCAGGCGTGGTGGCTCACGCCTGTAATCCTAGCACTCTGGGAGGTCGAGGCGGGCGGATTGCTCCAGGTCAGGAGTTCGAAACCAGCCTGACCAAGAGTGAGACCCCGTCACTACTATAAATAGAAAGAAATTAATTGGCCAAATAATATATAGAGAAAAATTAGCCGGGCATGGTGGCGCATGCCTGTAGTCCCAGCTACTCGGGAGGCTGAGGCAGGAGGATCACTTGAGCCCAGGAGTTTGAGGTTGCTGTGACACCACAGCACTCACTCTAGCCTGGGCAACAAAGCGAGACTCTGTCTCAAAAAAAAAAAAAGAAGAAGAAGAAAGCTAAGGTTAATTTGTGATTGAAGAAAGGAAAATATTATTTTATAAATCTAGTGTAGCGTCAGCACTGAGCGTTTGCAACGTCTGCAGTGGTGTTCCAGAAAGTCCCAGGCCTTCACACTCACTCCCCGCCCCTCCCAGAGCAACTTCCAGTCCTGACAGATCCATTCATACATAATAAGGAGCCCTGTGCATGTGTACCGTTTTTAGTTTACCGTATTGCACTTTTACTGTTGTTTCTATGGTTACACACAGAAATACTGACCACGCTGTTGTGCCTGCCTACGTTATTCAGTGCATTCATGGAAGCACAGGCTTGTAGCCCAGGAGCAACAGGCGACCACAGACCCAGCATGTAGCAGGCATATCACTTATGTTTGCGTAAGTACACTCCAGGATCCTACCATGACCAAGTCCCCTAATGACACATTGCTCAGAAAGTATCCCTAACTGTAAGCGATGCATGACTGTACACTAAATACCACTGAACTGTATACTTCAAAACTGCACACTTAAGACTTTTATGGTTGTAAATTAAGTCTCAATGGTAAAAAATCACTGCCTGAGGCCTCTGTCACCAGGCCGATCCCCAAACCCGCCACCCCTGCAGCCTGGCCTCCCTCTCAAGTCTCCTTCTGGCCCCCACAGTCTGGGCCAGCGAGAGCTGGGAGTCTGGTTCCTGCCCTGGCAGGTGGGAGCCAGTGCAGAGAGGCAGGTGAGGAGAGGAGGGGACCAGGCCGGCAGGGCGTCCCGCCCCGCCCAGGCCAGGGAGGGGGCTGCGTGCCTGTGTGCCAAACAGAGGTGGAGGGTAATGCCAGGGCCACCCCAACCTCCACCCTCCCACCCTATGGGCCTCCATCCCCCCACCCCATCTGTCCCCAGCCTCACTGTCATTCTCGCTGAGTACCCCCCAGCCAGTCACCCAGCAGTCGGGCCGGTGCTGGAACATGAAGGTGGATGAGAGGACACAAATGGGCTGGATGTACTTAGTGTAGGTGACAGGGGTGGCCAGTCTCAGCAGGGCTATGTCGTTGAATGAAACTCCATTGTAGCTGGGGTTCACAATGATATCCTGCACCGCGTATCGACTGATGTAGGCCCGAAGGTTCCAGAGAGTCGGCTTGGAAGTCAACTCCCCAAACTGCACCAACCACATGGAAGGATCATAGTACCTGGCAAAGAGAACAGTCAGGGGCCCTGGCAGGAGAGTTGGCTACCTGAGCACACCTGGGGGCCCAGGCCATGACGTGAGGCTGGGGGGCAGGTACTACTTGCTCATCTTGGCTGCCATTAGCAAGTCAGCAGCCTCGTCCCCCTCAGAACCCCCACCGGATCTCCCCTAGACTCACCTCCGGAAGCAGTGCGCAGCCGAGAGCACCCAGCGGCGGCTGAGCAGGCTCCCTCCGCAGTGGTGGCCTTTGTCCAAGCGCAGGCTGGCCTGCCACGGCCAGCGCCCGCGCACCGTCTCCACTCCGCCCACCACCAGCGGGTGAATGATGTCGCGGTGGCCGCAGGGCCCTGGGGCGGACACACGCACCCGCCACGCACCCGCGGCTCAGCCGCGAAGCAGGCCCGCCCCTCCTGGCCTCGCCTCCGCGGTGCGTGCAGGCGGTACCCCGGGATCCGCGCCCTCCCAGGACCCCCGCACGTCCGGGTCAGGTCGAGTCCAGGTGGAGGAAGGTGACTGGGGACCCTCCCACGTGCTCCACAGGGCCCGTCCTTCCCCCCAGGGCCCGTCAGTTACTTGATAGCAGCCTAGCTTCTGTGGAACCTGGGGCGGGAGAGGAAGAGATGAGACGCCCACTGCGCCCCGGCCCACGTGCACCGCGCAGGGAGGCGCGATCCGGGCGCCTTACCTGACAACAGGTCGGCCTCCTGCGACTCTGGGAGGAGGCAAGAAGGTGAGCTCCCGGTGCTGCCCGTACCGTCCCCGCGTCCCCAGCCCGGCAGCGGCCCCCCCGGAGCTCACCCGGCTTCTTCTCCTGGTCCCCCCGCGCCAGCAGCAGCGCCAGCAGCAGCGCGCAGGCCCGCGCGCCCATGGCCTCGGCTGCGCAGCGTGGCGCCCCTCTGCTTCCTCCTCCCAGGCGGCTGGGCGCCCCCTGGGAGAGGACCAGGGCGCCCTGGCCAGCACCTGCCCCAGCTGGCCCTCCTGGGCCCGGGCCGTTCTGGGGACCCTCAGGCCTCACAGCGCCCTGGCTTTCCGCTCCTGTGGGCCGCATCCCCAACCACGCTCCTTGGTGTGACCTGGGGACCTGTGGACCTGAACAGCATCTTTCTTTTCTGCAGGCCCAGAGGCTGACCCCCGGCTCCCTCATCTCACCCACTACTTCCCCAGGACCCAGGACCGGGGACACACAGCCACAGCGGAGTCCCTGTTAAAGCTCATTAACAAGTCTTCATTGAGGGCCGACTTGTGGCCTTACATCGGGTCACCTGTTGCTAAAGTCATGGTCCCGGCTCGTGACCAGGTGGAGAGAAGGACCCACGGAATGAGAGGCGGCCGGCTCCCCATCTGGAGGGCTCTGAGCCCACGTCTCTGCCCGCTGCCCTGCAAAAGGCCCCACACACTGAATGGAGCCCACGGCCCCTCTCCCTTCCTCGTGGGGTGTCGTGGGGCTGCCAACGGACCCCAGCTGCCCTCGGATCCTAGCTGCGAGTGGACAAGAGTCGGTGTCCACGACACCACCCTGGGGCAGTGATTCACAGTCTCAGCAAACCAGCGACTCCTGGGCATGGTTTCCGCGGAAGGGTGCACAGGTCAGAGCCCGGGAAGCCCAGGGCGGAAGTTCCGGCTGCGGTCCTGGTGCAGTCTGCGGACAGCGCCCAGTGCGCCCGCCATCCAGGGCAGCAGCACAGGTGAGGTAGAGGCAGTGAGGGAAAGAAGACCATTATCTG